GTCGAGGCGGCCGCCGAAGAAGGCGTCGCGCAGCCGGAAGAAGGCGGCGCCCGTGAGCAGCGCGTCGCTGCCCGCTTGGTGCTGCGGGCCCAGGCGCCGCAGCCCCAGACGCACCGCCGCCTCCTGCGCAGGCCATCCGCAGATCACCAATAGAGCATCCACGTTGCCTAACATCCATGGCTAAAGGCGGCTCCACCCATTCGGAATTCGCAGAGCAGCGAACTATTGCCTGCCAAATCCCGAACACCTGATGTGATCGGCGAATGTTCTCTTCCTTTGATGTGTACTAAAGACGGACACTCGGTGGGTAGGGCGAGCACCGAATGTTTGTCACTCGGCAAATAGCAAGCAAACATTCACTCGGAATTCGGCTAGCTGTTGCTCGCTACTCGTCGAATAACGAATGTGTGGAGCCGCATTCAAGGAGAGCGTAGGCTTTCGTGGCCGGAGTCATTAGCTACTTGGCTGTCCGGGAGACGCCGTGACCTAGGCACAGGTGACAAAGTTTCAGCCGACCTTTCTGCCAGGACGAAATGCCTGAGGAAGGTGGCAGAAAACCGGCCGAAACCTTGGCACCCGCTGTGCATAGGACGCGGGGTTTCTCGAACTAGCAAGTAGCTATCGATTTTAAAAAAACTTAAAAGATGGATGTTAATAATACCTCAACCATAAACCATCGATTTTTCAAGCCCGGTTTAGTTACCTCTTTACACTAAATTCATGCGCAACAAATTTAATTTGACAGTGCCCGTGTACATTAATTAATAATCAAGATTTAACTGAAAAGAAAGCTAAAAAGTGCCTCTTCTTGCGCAAAATTCGAGAAAGACGAAGTAAATTTCAGATCATCAGGATCATCACGGGCGATGGATAATCTACTCGATGAAGGTAGTACCACATCCGTTAGGTTCGAACACTGAGGTACCCGAAGTAACACAAGGTACCATAAGTTATTATTTCACATTTTATTTTACAAATTTTTTATCCGCAAACGAAAGATGAAAATAGTAAGTATGTTGAGGACATCGACATTAAAAAAAAATCATTTGACGGACCACTTGGTGTGCCCTGGCTATGTGTTTATCTGGTGTGGTCCGATGCATGTTATCAGGAGGGCAGGAAAAGACAGGGAAAGAAAGGCGCCAGGGCGCGATCGGCTCAGTCTAGTGAAATGACAGTGACACTCTTCTATGTGAAACCACAGGCGCTCCCCCCAAGTCTAAGCAGTGCTGCACGAGGCGGCTGGGCCGCGCCAATTGCCGTGTGCTTAGCGGTGCCGTTTAAAGAGCGATTGGCTTTTCTATTTGCCGCGAGGTTCCAGAAAGGAAAAAAAGAGGAGAAACAGGGATCATTCTTCTCACGATAGTCATTATCCAGTGATATTTGATATCGCGTTTTGTATCGAGAGGTTTATTGCCAAGTACCTAAAAGGGAATGTCAAACATTAAGACTCATTCCGACAGGAATGGGAAAGTACATCAGTAGAAAGAATTTTTGTAAATATTTGAAGATATGTTTTATCGGAAGAAATAAATTTATTAAAACATGTACCGAAGGGAACATTTTCTTTCTCTATTGTTTCCAGCAAGCGATGTTTTCAGAATCTTATTGCTCTGACGATTACAAAGACAGAAGGAAACTAGCCCATTTGCCTCGGCGTTCATTTTGGGAATGACAAAAAGGCTAGAGAGAGCCCACCGCTGGGGAAAGCACAACTGCAGCAGCTGGTCGCAGCAGTTGTATCGCTTGCAGAAACGCTGACTCGATTTATACGCTATCTTTTCACGAACGAGTCCGAAGGTACTGCTTTTTCGCGCACGCGCAGTGCTACCTCTGCGATTCTATTCTGCATTCACGTCCGCTAAAATTCCGGAATCGTTCCCAACAAGGGAAGAGCGTCGCGAGCTCCGCACCTGGAGTCCGGCGGTGGCGAGGCCGTTGCGGCAGCCGCGCAGCAGCAGCTTGACGTCGTAGACGCGCGGGAAGAAGAGGCGCAGCAGCTCGAAGAAGGCGCCCTCGTCGGCCGGCAGCGGCTGCGCCGTCAGCAGCTTGAGCAGGTAGCCGAAGTCGTAGCCGCTGTGGAAGGTGACCCACGTCACGTCGTCCACCAGCACCAGCCCCGACGCCGTCAGCAGCTCGGCGAACGCCGCGGGCTCGATGCCGTCCGCGCGCAGGCGCCGGAACTGGATGCCCGCGTTGCGCAGCAGCTCGATGGAGTCGCGCGCGTACATGTCGCGCGACAGGTCGAAGTTGAAGTTGAACTGCCAGGCGGCGGGCGCTGACTCGTCCTGCAAACATTAACCCGATGAGAAGTGTGTCTTCTCATGACAATAAAGGATTTCTCTATTTACTGGTTCAACATATCGTTGTTATGTTTCTGTACTTCGCATTTTCGGCTATACCAGCATGTTCTTCAACTAATGTTAGATAAAGTTTCTCGGAAACTCAACCTTTATCTAAGAAATCTAAGTCCCAATTCCGCATTTTCAGAAACACTCAAACGCCATTTTCTCGAAAACGACTCCAATTTTTTCATGAAACATTTCGAACGGATAGTGCTAATTGCACTCTTTAATATGACATAAAGTTCACTTTAAGGCAGTCTTTGGTTTTTTCCAAAATTACACAAATGTAATTTTTTGAATGAATCTCTAAGACCGTTAATCTGTACATTTCCAGAAATTTATAAACACTGTTGTCTTTGTAAGGTAATGTGTTTCAAATAACTTCAAATGAAGGTTTCCGAAAACTCAAAAATTGTCTGTGTAAAAGAGCATCAAATTTCGAATTTACAGTCGCACTTAAGCGCCATGTGCTTAAATAAGGTTACAATTTTTTCAAAGGAAGTCCATTTAGAAAGAGAGTTTACTGTTCTTTAATATTTTTAAACTTATACTTTCGTTATACTATTAGGTAATATTAAGAAAGTTTCAACAAAAAAATAATAATATTTTGACAGTGATAGATGGCAGTTGACAAGACTATGTGGCAAGTTTGTATAGCTAGGCGAGACCAAAGGAAATCTAATACAGGAAAGTCTGCGCCATGCTGTAGCACCACTAGTTTTTTTTATTTGAATGAGGGGGCATTTCAACATGGTGAAGAGAACACCAAAAACACCTTTGAAACTTTCGAGGGCGCTTTGTTCATCACACATTTTACATGAAACGACCTAAATGGGAACCTCGATAGCTAGAGTTGGAAGGTGAGCAGTCTAACCCATTATACTCCATTCTTTCGATTATCGTCCCATTTCCCCTGCAGTAGTACTTCAAGCTCCTACCACCCTCTAACTGGTCAGTCTCTGTGCCCGCTGGGCCGGAAGAGCGTGTCAAGAGGGATGGTAGGGTTTCCTTCCGTCCAAAGGGGTCCGTCTCCCAGGGAACGACGATATGTATCGTATACTTCGAGAATCTGCGAGTGCAGTGGAACCAGTTATGCGGTCACTAATGGTTCCCACAAAAATGTCCATTAATAAAGCTGATCACCCCATTAAGGTTCTGATGTTGCGAGAAGCGTAGACCAGGTCAAATGAGGCTAATTACTGTAAAATAAAGTACGGTTTCGGTAAAATAAATTGAGTTACCTTAAACTACAAATTACCACTTAAAGCAAACTACATTTGAATTATAAGATAAAGGCAATTCTCTTCTCCCATGGATTTTACGAACTTTTGAAAAAAATTCTCATTTTAGCCGCAGAGGTTTCGAAAGTTTACAAAATCGTGTCCATTGTTTTTTTTAATAATTGAATTACTTTAATTTTCTTTTGTGTTCTTCCACTCAAAAATATCAGCACGTTTTCCACGTGAAACGTTTCTCGTTTTCTAGGATCACATGCCTTCTCTCTGCTAGTGTCAAACATTGTTGATCTCCCGAATTATATTATCAGTCCCCATCAAACCGAACTTTAAAGCAAACTAAACTTCAAAATGCAATGCACATTCTGTTCATAGTGCTGTCCCACGAAACAGTTTGCGATCTGATCCGTCTGATCCGTTTCGCATATGCGGCGCAGTACACCGACAGTTAAAAATTTCCACAAAAAGGAAAAAAGGTTTAGCAAACAACAAGAGTAAACTCCGGTGTAAAATCGAAATGAATGCATTTTTATTTCGTAAAGACATTTATTGAAATCATCTGTTTTTTATTAAACGGAAATTCAGCTTTTTGTCATAAGATATCTGCAGATGATATAAGATGTCTGCAGATATCATTGTGGATCATTGTGCCGGCTTAATGGAGTTCAATGTTCGTAATGTGCCTGGCGTGCCGCTTAAAAGAGCGAATTTTTACACTCTATTAAGGAAAAATTAATCGGGTCCTCGAAAAATGGCATTTAAATGAGGTGACTGCTTAATCGACGTGGTCGTTTGAGCGGGTACCTTAAACGTATGCCCTATCGATGCCAATAGAGTAGCGTACCTCCCCGTCGGCGGGCGTGCGGCCGCGCGCGTCGGCCAGCGACAGCCCCAGCTGGATGACCTGCAGCAGGTCCACGTTGCAGCGCAGCATCTGGTAGTGGTACTCTGCGCTGGAGCGCACCGTGGTGGCCGGCCGCGTCACCACGCCCGGGAACTCCGTGTCCATGGCCACGAACGGGTAGCGCTTCACCAGGCGCCGGATGGTGCGAAACTCCTCCTGCGCTCGCGCGCACCCGGCGGCTTAGCAAATACTCATTCGGGGTGAGGCCATGGACATTGCCCTGACGAGCAAAGGTTACTAGAAACAATTTTGTTATGTGTTAATGAGCAATTCTTGGGGGAGGAAGAGAGACAAAAAGGGAGAGAGAAGATTGGTGAACATGGAGCACTTGCTATGACCTATTGATGTTTTCTAGAATGTAAACCAGGCCAATAAAGAAATAATGAATGATATTATAGTGAGACTGAATATGACGGAAAGTGTGTATTAGAAAAAGACTACAATGGAGATCTGAGATCTAGATGAGTGATGGATGAATTCGTATGACCAAATTACCGTCTGTAAGTTGAAAATTTACTATTCCTGGCTTTGAATCCGTTATTGTCTCTTCAGCACTGTACTATGCACGTTATTTATAAATAATTATACGTAAAAAGAAATAACCCATTGCACAAAAAATGACTTTGCACGCCTGATAACAACGAACAGTGTATTTGTGAAGAAATGCAGAGCCCAAGAACTCAACTGTTCATCGAAATATTATATTGTTGCTTAGTATATATCCTGGAAGGGATTGAACAATTCCTGGAGATTCGACGGAATTTTTAATTAAGTGCCCATGCCTTATTAGTGTGCTCCGTGCGAATTATGTGTACAGGAACTACACGGATATTACAAATGATTTC